GGACGAGCTGGAGGAGCATCAATCCCCCCAGCCAAGCCCTGCATCCTCAGAAATTCACATTACAGGGTGAATATTTGGGGAGTTTCAACCTGCAGAAGGCTCACCCCGGATATTTTGGGTTTGCCACGGCGGGATTTGGAATTTTATTGTGGGATAAACGCTCTGGAGAGAGCTCCAGAGGGAAACTGAGGCATCCAGAAGCTTCTCCAGGCAGGAAAAGCCGATTTGTGGGTGATGGCTTTGGTGCCTCTGGGCTTCTCCTGGCTGCAAGTGGAGCAGAAAACTGGTTCTTCTGTATTAATATTAATAATATTAATAATAATTAATATTAAAATATATCACAGGATGCTCTCTCAGCCAGGGTTTTATCCTAGAACTGGCTCCTGGGCCTTGCTTTGCCTTTTCCCCTCCTTTTTATTCCTCTCCCTTTTATTCCTCTCCCCTTTTATTCCTTCCCCTTTTTTTCTCTCCCCTTTTATTCCTCTCCCCTTTCCCCCTCCTTTCCCTTTTTTTCTCCCCTTTCCCTTTTTTTTTCCCCCTTTCCCTTTTTTTCCTCTCCCTTTTATTCCTCTCCCTTTTTATTCTTTCCCCTTTTTCCCCTTTTCCTTTTTTTCCCCTCTCCCATTTTTTCCTTTCCCTTTTTTCCCCTTTCCCTTTTTTTCCCCTTCCCCTTTTTTTCCCCTTTCCCTTTTTCCTCCCTCCCTTTTTTCCTCCTCCCTTTTTCCTCCTTTTCCATTCACCTTTGGAATTATTTCCCTGCCTCCTCCAGCACCTCGGAATTTCACCCTGGAATTGCTCCTGGGGAAGAAAAAATAAAGTTTCCATTTGGAATTTCCCACTCCTGCCATTCCCGTGCCCACCAGCTGCTCCAAACATTTCAGTTTTGAGGGCATTTCTGTGCAACAAATGGGATTTTCTGCACTCCAAACCCAAAAATCTCCTTCCAATAACACGAAATGGGTGTTTGAGAGAAAATTAAAGGAGAATTCCTTCGTGTCCTGTCCCCAGCAGCCACGAGAGGGCCCAGGAGCCCAAATTTTTTCCACACAGGCTGGAAAAAATCCCTTTTTTTCCCTAACTGTGACATCTGAATGTAACTTCATGCTCTTGTTGTCGTGTGGAGGAAGAGGGAATTTATCTGGGAAGCCCAGAGAGCTGAGGAATCCTTGGATTTGTGCTCAGCTTTTTTCCCACAGCATCCCAACCCCAGGAATGTTTCAGTGATGCCTCCTGCCAATGAAATATCTGCCATTTTCTGGTTTTTAATCGGTTCTGATCGTTTCCTCCTGGCTTTTTCCCAGCATTGACGTTTCCCAGCAGTTACACAAAGCAACATTATCGATTCACCCCTCTGCAATTTCTGTGTTTCAGCTTCCCCTACCCTGACCCAGCAGAAAAAAAAGAGAGGAGAGAAGAGAAGGAGGAGGAGGAAGAGAAGGAGGAAGAGAAGGAGGAAGAGAAGGAGGAAGAGAAGGAGGAAGAGAAGGAGGAAGAGAAGAGAAGAGAAGAGAAGAGAAGAGAAGAGAAGAGAAGAGAAGAGAAGAGAAGAGAAGGAGAAGGAGAAGGAGAAGGAGAAGGAGAAGGAGAAGGAGAAGGAGAAGGAGAAGGAGAAGGAGAAGGAGAAGGAGAAGGAGAAGGAGAAGGAGAAGGAGGAGGAGGAGAAGGAGAAGGAGAAGGAGAAGGAGAAGGAGAAGGAAGATCTGCCCTGGGTGACTCTGGAGTGATTTTATCTCTTCTCTTTATCTCATGGGCCTTTGGGGTCCTTCTGGCTTTGGGGTTTTTCAAATCCTTTTCCAATTCCTGGGGCTCTGGGCACAACTGCAGCAAGGCAAACCCAGCTGGCAGCTGGAGGCTGCTCCCTCCTCTCCTCATTCCAGAGCTCCTCTCCTCTCCCTCCTGCTTCTGCAGCAGCTGATGGAGCTGCTGGAAGTTTGGAGCACTTTGGTGCAGGAGTGTGATTTCTCTCTGGAAATGACTGAGCCTGATGTTTGGCAGTTAATAATCTGCATAATTACAGCTCCAGCAGCAGATCCAGTCCCTTTAGAAAGTGCTCTGGAATCTAAACACCTTCTCCTTCCCTGCCTTGCAGTGATATTCATTTATTCCTCCCCTAAATGACAACAGAATTAATTCTGGAGACACCTGTTGCTCCAAGTGGAGCCAGTGGATTAATAAAAGCCTTAATTATTAAAGGCAGCAACTGCTCCCTAATGATTGTTTGCTGCAGAGTTAATGTTTGATTGGGGAAGGTCATCTGCAAGGCTGGGTAGGAAACCTGGCTGGGTGAGGGCATTAATCAGGTTAAAACAATTAATTCCCTTCTCCTCGGGGTCCTCCTGAGCATCCCAAAGATCCTGGAGGAGGGAAACACCGCAGGTTTATTCCAGTGGGAGGAATTCCAGCAGGGATTTCTGCTCTTCCTGGGCTTCCCTGAGCCAGGCAGGGGCACCTTGCTCTGCCCCAAAAGCCTCGGGGGTTTGAGAGGGCTCAGGAGTGAGAA